ATGATTTCAGAAGAGGGAGGGATCGCAGTGCTGCCATGGCATATATCCGGGAAAAGAAAATATCGGTAAGTATGGCATAAATTTTCTGTTTTCCCCGGATATATCCATGGCAGCACTACGTATGGGTTATTCCCAAGCTGAAAGGAGTAAGGGAGGGAGAATAATAACCACAACGCATAAATCTATGCAAATACGGTTTATTGCTCCATAAACTATAAGGCAGCAGAGAGGACACTTCTACCAAATTTTGTGGTAGATGAACGCACTACATCCAACTGATAGTGATTGATAAACGTGTTGAAGGAGGACCATGTTGCTGCCGAACAAATGCGATCCGCAGAAATGTTGGCTGCAGCTACCCAAGAAGCGGCCAAGGATCTGGTAGAATGAGCTCTAAGACCTTGAGGGACAGGGACTCCGGAGGCTGAGTAGGCCTGACTAATGGCTAAGATGATCCATCGGCCAATATGAGATGAAGAAGCGGCTTGACCCTTCTTGTAACCTGAAGGAATAATGAACAGTCTAGATGTCTTCCTTATGACTGAAGTCCGGTTCTGGTATGTAGATAAATAGCGCACCAGATCCAAACAATGCCATTTCTCTTCTTCTTCTGATGAGGGATGAGGGAAAAAGGCTGGCAAAATGATGTCCTGATTCATATGGAAAGCAGAAACCACCTTGGGTCTGAAAGCTGGAATTGTACGAAGGATCACTCGGTCTTCCTGAAGAATCAAAAAGGGAGACTCACAGGAGAGAGCGCTTAGCTCGGAGATTCTTCTACCTGAGGTCAAGGCAACCAACAGAGCGGTTTTCAACGTAAGAGTAAGTATAGAAACACTCTCCAAGGGCTCAAACAGAGAATCAGACAAGGCCTGTAAAACCAGAGGTAAATCCCAAGGAGGGGAGCAAGACCGTACTGGAGGGCGAAGCTTGAGAATGGCTTGAAAAAATCTAGCAATATCTGGATCAAATGCCAATTTCTGATCTAACAGAGCAGACATAGCTGAAGTATGCACTTTTAGGGAGCTGCGACTCAAACCCTTGTCAAATCCATCCTGTACAAATTGAAGGATGTCACAGATACTGGGAGACAAAGGAGAAATATTATGTGCCAAACACCAGCTACAGAAGATGTCCCAAATACGATAGTAAGCTGAAGAAGTGGATTTCTTCCTGGCATTCAGAAGAGTAGAAATTATTGAAGAAGAGAAGCCTTTGCTGGAGAGACGTTGCTTCTCAATTTCCAAGCCCTTAAATTGAGAGACTGAGGAGATGGGTGAGAGATCGGACCTTGTTGTAGGAGACTGAGTTGACCTGGGAATTTCAGAGGTATGTCCTGAGAGAGTTTCTGCAGCAGGGGAAACCAAGGCCATCAGGGCCAGAAGGGAATCACTGCGAGAATCGTCGCTTGCTCCTGCAGGATCCTTCTTAGCAGGGGGAAAATCAGAAGAGTTGGGGGAAAAACATACCCCAGATGGAATTTCCACTCACAGCAGAGAGCATCCTTGTCTTCCGCCAAAGGGTCGAAGTAACGCGAGAAGAACCTTCCCACTTTGCGATTCTTCGCTGTGGCCATCAGATCTACCTGAGGAAGACCCCACTTCTGGACTATGCTTTGGAGTGCCAGAGGGGCTAACTCCCATTCTGTGGGATCCAGGGTTACACGGATTAAGAAATCCGCTACTTGATTGTTCTTTCCTGGAAGGTAAACTGCCTTTATCCCCTTCAAATTCTTCTCTGACCAGGACATAAGTGGGGTCAACACTTTCATTAAGCGTTTGCTCTTTGTACCCCCCTGATGATTGATGTAAGCAACTGCAGAGGTATTGTCTATCCTTACTCTCAGCCAACATTGTTTCAGACAAGGAAAGAGCAGAAGAGCATGGAAGAGTGCTTGCAACTCTAAAACATTCGAGGATAGAGGATACTGTTTGTTTTCCCACTGCCCCTGAAGATGAAGAAGGCCCAAATGAGCTCCCCAACCTGATTGGCAAGCATCCGTCGTGAGAGTAACCCAAGGGATATTGCTTGAAATAGATTCTCGTTCATCAGCCACCATGCCAGTTCCTTCTTGATCTCTGATGATAAAGAGATTGCTTGATTCAGATCCTTGTTCGTAAACTGGGATAGGAACCCTTCTTGTGGAATCCTCATATGCCACTGGGCCCATTTCGTAAGGCCTATTGTAGAGGACAAACTTCCCAGAAGGCTCATAAATTCCCGGGCCGGGATGGAGTTCAGAGGCAGAAGACAAAGGATCTTTGATTGAATACGAAGCCCTCTGTCCAAGGATAGGGAGACCTGTGACTGGATTGTGTCGAATCTTGCCCCTAAGTATATCATAACTTGAGAGGGGGAAAGCTGACTCTTCTTGAGGTTTACCAACCATCCAAATTTTTGAAGAATTGAAAGAACTCGATCTCGATGAAGAAGGAGAATATCTCTGCTGTGTGAAAGAATCAAGATGTCGTCGAGATAATGGAATCTTGAGATGCCTTCCTCTATCTCAGCCTTTCAACTTGTTTTATTATAAGTCCCTAAGTTTCCATTTTTACTTTTGGGCCCATTCAGCTTTTTGTCCTCTGCGTTTAATCCCCGTGAATACGCAGGAGCTAGTCTAATGGTCGCGCCATGCCATTACTGCGCATGCTCGGAAATATGATTCACTTGTGCATATTCTAAAATGTAAGTCCAGCTGCAGGGTCATATTGGCTTCCCCTTTTCAGCACAATGTTTTCTAATAGGTGTTTTCCTATATAAAGTAATTAGATTTGTGTGCAGTTTTCATCTTAATTTGAAATCTTTTTCTTTATTGAAGGTATATTACTTATTTTTCTCTACTTGTTTAGCAGAGATTTTCTTTATTAAGGATAAAAAGAAATCTTATGCAGTTATGGATTCAGATCCCTCTGCTCCCGGAAAAAAGGTCATACTCTAAAAGACATAGGTAAGCCATTCTATTTTTTCTGTGATTACTAAACAAAAGAGTGCCTATCAATAATTGGAATTCCCTATGATGATAGCTCTACGGGAAGAAAATAATCCGGATCATACAAGGGAAGTCACACTAAAGAATTGTTTGTGAGGCATATCATAAGAGATCCTTGTAAAAGTAAAGTCTCTGCACAGACTGTCTGAAAGTGGCTACAGGCCCATCTACTCATGCCCCATGTATTACACAATATTAACAGGAGGTATCTCAAGACGTCATAGAAGCTGTTAAAGCTTGGATCCTCTGGACAATTCCTAGAATGAATACTCTTAGGAATCCTGGGAGATGGATCCATTCAGAGATATGGAATCATCGGATGAGGATATTCAGCCTATTTCAGTAGTTCCAGAATCCGCTCATTTGATTTCCAGAGTCCTTTTACCTCTAGCCTTTCTTTTCGCATGTCAGAGGGTGTAGAGTATCTCTTCCAGTTCCCGGTCCCCTTAAGATCCTTAATGGAGGAATGGTTCTACACTGAGAGAGGTTTTCAACACAAGGAGGTTTTCATCCATTGGAATTTCAGACACTAGTACCTGGGACTCTGCTCCTGGGTAGTAGATGCAGTCCTTAGACTGGCTAAATGTTCCTCTCTGCCTGTAAACAATGCGGGATCTCTCTGAAACTCCATGGAGTATACATGGTCCTGCTCCTCTCTAAAGCCTATGTGGCAGCTGGCACAGGCTTTCATCTTGCTGTAAGGTTTTACCTCAATCTCTAAGGATCTAAGATCTGTATGGATAAATTGGAGGAGCATATCAGAGATAAATTTCCTTTGTCTCTTGACAATTTACAAGTCATTAATCTGGAAATAGTCTTCAGCTAAGAAGTCTATGTAGGTTGTATTATATTCTAGCCAGAAATATGACTTTCTTTGTGTCTATTAGCTGGGCTCTTTGGCTTAACTCCTGGTCCACAGATGCATCCTCCTATATTAATGGATCAAGCGAACAGCAGAGGGCAGGAAAGCTTGTCTACTTCAAGACCTAAGGTTCAGGAGACCTTTCGATCCAAGGATTCTCATTAACTTCCTTCTCAGACCAAGGTATTTCACACCAGGAAGAGTGTGGTAGATCTCAACCTTGATGTAAGTGGTCATTATTCTACCAGAGGAAGAGAAAAGTTAAAAAGAGATGCTTTGTAAATCGCATGGCTTCCCTTCAATTAGAGGAAGCTATTGTGAGAATTAAAAAAAAAAAAAAAACAACTAGAACACAAAGAATCTGTTTCTAACAGGTGTTGGAGACCCATTCTAATTTACAGGATTCTTGAACATTCTTATTTATAAAGGTAGTATTCCTAGTACATTGGATGATTTCTACAGATTTGCAGGATGCTTATTGCCATGTATCCTTTGCCTCACATCACTTTTATTTTTACATCTTCATGGGGAAAGATGAATGTCTGCTATAGTCACCTTGCTCTCTACCAGTTCAGGGTATAGCTGGAAATACAGTTGGACGTGGTCCAAGGCTCGGTACAGCTCTTTTCAGACTAGCATATTATCCCAACAGAGAGAGTTTTGATCCAGGTCCTCCACCATAGATCTGATAGGATGTCACAAGGGTGGAGGTTAACTTTCCTTTGGACAGTGATAACCATGAATGCCATGGGGTTGAGGAACTTTTCTCCAAATTCAAATATGTTCTGGAAAGGGACTCCCTTAACATCCAACATTTCTCTTCTGCATAGGTTGCAAGAGCCAATATCAATCATCCTGACAGTTCCATATTAATACAAAGTCCATGGTTTCCACTTCTACCTATCTTCTTCAGTACCTCCAAGGGATCTCCCAAAATAGTTCCAGAGCTACTTTCCTCCTTCGGAAGGTTTCGATAATGTAGAAGGGCTTAAATATAAGAGTTTTTGAACTACATTAAGGGCCATGGGAAAACTTATATCATTGGCTGTAGCGGAGATACAATATTCCACAGATTATCTCCGCTTAAGATCCCAGTGAGGCTCAGGAACAAGTGATGATAAATCCACAAAGCAAGGTTTCCAGCAAGTAAAATAATCCAACAGTATCCCAACAGCAATCCCAATAACTGGACGACACACAGCATCAGGAGCAGAACTGAAAACCTTTATTTCACAGTGGCCCTCTAAAGCATGCTCCCATGCAAGGGAGGGATCTTCATCAATTATTACAGTACCCAATAGCAACCTCCCACACATCTCCTCCCCTCAGCCTGACTCATAATCCCCTTATACTGTACACAAATTCCCCCAGTTTCTGGATGTACCCCTAAACCTAGGGGTACCCCTTTAAATGGCACATCCCCTGGTAGCCCTGATCTGGGTGAGCAACATATCCAAAACTCACCCAGATCAGACCAGGGGTTCGGGAAATTTATGGAAGTACTAAAAAGACCGACCGCGCTGGAGAGAACAGCCGAATTGGGTTCCATGCGATGGGGCACTGCGGTCGGTCCCAGTATAAGGGAATAAATTACACGAAAGGCTAAGACTGCAGAGATCAGGTAGGGTTCGCCTGAATCCCCTCATTCGGTTGTTTCTGTCTACCAAACGAGGGGCCGTTCGGTAGGTTGGAACCGAATGGACCGGGCTTGTGGAGGTCTCAGCGGTGTTCGCCTAGCCGAGTGTCCGATTTGGGTTCCATACACTCGACGGCAAAACGCATCATTCGGGAGTTTTAAAATGGCCGCCACCACGTGTTCATTTCCCGAATGGCGGCCACCCCGAAAACAAAGGACCTACTGCATAGCTTGTTAATTGAAGGCACACTTCACACAGGGGAGGTCTGATTGTTTGGTAGTTTCATTCCCTTAGTTTATTCGAATGATTCTACAGAACAATCAGACGAATACACTTTATTTAAACACATAAAAAACCAGCAGTTTACCCAAATGCAGTTATACACATGCCATTTTCAGGACAGCCCAGTGCCATCCGCTACATTGGCTACCTTTACAGAGTTGAAATGCCCTTTTTCCTGGTCTATTTCTAATTAGGTTTTCATTCAAATTCATTCTTCCAAGAAGGTTCTTCCATCCGGGACTTATCTAGGAATTGGCCACATTACCTCAGAGATATGTCTCAGCACTCTCTGATCTCTCTTTTCGTGAAAGGGCTTTAATATGGAAGTATCTATGGTTATCTATGCTCTCGGTGGAATTCTTCCTTGGTTTTTTTTTTTTTAGGGCTCTGAAATCTCCCTCTTGAGCATCTCCCTCTTGAGCATCGGTGGCCAAGCTTCCCTGGAACTTGTAGGTAAATGGCTGCTTGATCCTCAATCAATTTTCAGACATTTTTTTTTTTTTTTTTGGTACATTTGAGTTGGTCAATTTGATAATGTGCCATTTGTGGGCAATCAGTTTTTCATGTCCTTATCAGGTGTGTGTGTGTTGTCAGTTTGCATTCATATTTTGTCTTGTGTACTTCTTTCCCTCCCTTGGTTATTGCTTGGGTATTACCCATTGTTGTGCTGCCATGGATATGGCCAGGAAAAAGGAAAATGTATTCCTACTTACTGTAATTTTCTTTTCCTGGTCATAGGCCATGGCAGCATAAAGATCCCACCCTGGGATATTGCTGGAAACAAGACTGAGGGTGGGAGGGGTAGGAGGGGTTACTTATACCTTCTGTTTTAATTAGGTTCCTGTCTGGTTAGGGATAGGGAGGAGCTACCCATTGTTGTGCTGCCATGGCCTATGACCAGGAAAAGAAAATTACAGTAAGTAGGAATAAATGTTCCTTTATTTTCAACATGGGAACAAATTCCTTTAAAAACAGAAGAAGCGGGCATCATATTAGACTAGGTTGGTAAGACACACACACTGCACACAACACCACGCAGCACATACACAATACAGCAGATATTATTAAATAGATGGAATGTGTGAGTGTTAAGAATGTATTGTAACTCTGTAATACTATAACTCTGTAACATTCTTCTTCTGTAATATTTAACTGGGCAGATTCTAAGTAAAGTTTTCTCTCTGGTAAAAACTATGGTGTTTGCTGTTTATTTGTAATATCTGGTAGCATGGGCGTCCGCAGGAATTTTTCCAGGGGGGAGCATAATTGTAATGACATCCATGCTTGGTCCCTTTTTGACAGTGTCATGAAGGGGAGGAGCATAGTCATTATCACATAAAGCCAGGGTGAATAGCGTTTTCACATCTATGGTGTCAGGAATACATGTTTGTATTCCTGACACTATAGTGTTCCTTTAAGCAAATTAAAGGAACATTCTGGTCACCATAACAACTTCATCTAAATGAAAATGCTATAAAGCCAGGAAGCCCCTGGGTGTTTTCTTTCCTTTAAGGGGTTACACTGCTCTCAAATGGTTTACCCCTAAAGGCTTCCTCCAGCTCCAGATTTCCAGGTCGCTCAGTGATATTCGGCTTCTGAAAAAGAGTGTCAGGAAGTGCAGATTGACGTCAGGCATGGGTGCTACAGATTGGCTAGAGTGGTCAGTTGATGCTCTAAGCCAATCGCTAGTTCCCAGTTCATAAAAATGTTTTACTTTTTTATGAATGGGGAGCTACTGATTGGCATAGAGTGCCAGCTGACCCTCTAGCCAATCAGCGGCACCCCTACTCAGCGGCCCTCTGTGCTTCCTGACACTCAGTAAATAAAAGTGAACACATTAATACTGATTTTTTTTTTACCTGGGGAGATGAGAAGGTCCAAAGTTTCCCTGCCAGGCCCAGGTACCAAAGCCTTATGATGTGGTGTCCAGAATAAAGTGGAGGGATCACTTCACTTGTCCTTCCTGCTCCAATCTCCTTTTCTTCTCCTTCATTTGACACAGTCTTCTTTTTCTTCTGACACTGTCTCCTCTCCTCCTTGGCTCCTTCTGCTCCTTTACCTTTCTGCTACTTTCTGCTTATTGTGCTCCCCTTTCTGATCCCTTTCTGCTCCTTGCAGACCCTTTCTGCTCCTTCTCTTACTTTACCTTTGTGCTCCTTGCTGTCCCTTTCTGCTCCTTGCTACCCTTTTCTGCTCCTTCTCCTACTTTACCTTTGTGCTCCTTCTGATTCTTTCTGCTCCTTTACCTTTGTGCTCCTTCTGTCCCTTTCTGCTCTTTGCAGACCCTTCCTGCTCATTTCTGTTCCTTCTCCTACTTCACCTTTGTGCTCCTTCTGTCCCTTCCTGCTCCTTTATGCCATTTCAGCCCCTTGCTGACCCTTTCTGCTCCTTCTACTTTACCTTTGTGCTGCTTTACCTTCCAGCTCCTTGCTGACCCTTCCTGCTCCTTGCAGACCCTTCCTTCTCCTTGTTGACCTTTCATGCTCCTTGCAGACCCTTCCTGCTCCTTGCTGCCCCTTCCTGCTCATTTGTGTTCCTTTGTGCTCCTTCTTCTACTTTACCTGTTGTGCTCCTTGCTGTCCCTTCCAGCTCCTTGCTGCCCCTTTCTGCTCATTTCTATTCCTTCTCCTTTCTGCTCCTTCTCTTACTGGTCCTTGCTGACCATTCCTGTAGGCTGTCTCCCCCATCCCTTACTTACCCAATATATAGGCTATCTCTGCCCCCCCATGCCTCACTTCCCTGATCTGTAGGCTATCTATGCCCCCCATATGCCTCACTTCCCTGATCTCTAGGCTATCTCTGCCCACCTATATGCCTCACTTCCCTGATCTCTAGGCTATCTCTGCCCCCCATATGCCTCACTTCCCTGATCTATAGGCTATCTCTGTCCCCTCCCCATGCCTCACTTCCCTGATCTGTAGGCTGTCTCTGCCTCCTATATGCCTCACTTCCCTGATCTGTAGGCTGTCTCTGCTCCTATATGCCTCGCTTCCCTGATCTGTAGGCTTTCTCTGCCCCAAATATGCCTCACTTCCCTGATCTGTAGGCTGTCTCTGCCTCCTATATGCCTCACTTCCTTGATCTGTAGGCTATCTCTGCCCCCCATGCCTCCCTTCCCTGATCTGTAGGCTTTCTCTGCCCCAAATATGCCTTACGTCCCTGATCTGTAGGCTTTCTCTTCTACAAATATCCCTCACTTACCTGATCTGTAGACTGTCTTTCCCCCCATGCCTCACTTCCCTGATCTGTAGGCTGTCTCTGCCCCCCATGCCTCCCTTCCCTGATCTGTAGGCTTTCTCTGCCCCAAATATGCCTTACTTCCCTAATCTATAGGCTTTCTCTTCTACAAATATCCCTCACTTCCCTGATCCGTAGGCTTTCTTTCCCCCCATGCCTCACTTCCCTGATCTGTAGGCTATCTCTGCCCCCATGCCTCACTTCCCTGATCTGTAGGCTATCTCTGCCCCCCATGCTTCACTTCCTGATCTGTAGGCTATCTCTGCCCCATGCTCACTTCCTGATCTGTAGGCTATATCTGCCCCCATATGCCTCCCCTTACCCTGCCTCTGCCCCCCATGCCTCACCCTGATCTGTAGGTATCTCTGCCCCTATGCTCACTTCCTGATGGGCTATCTGCCCTGCCTCTCTCTCTGATTTGTAGGCTCTCTGCCCCCATATGCCTCACTTACCTGGTCTGTAGGCTATCTCTGCACCCCCCCCCCCCCATGCCTCACTTCCCTGATCTGGCCAGGGTACTATAATCAGGTACAAATTTACGGTAGTACCCGGCGGTTCCCAGAAAGGCTAGGACTTGGGTCTTAGTGCGGGGGTTGGTTTTTTATCTGAACATTAATGGACAAATTGTCCACATTCTGTTCAGACGAAATTCAGTCCATTCATTCATGCCCTAGTATAAATAACAGTGTTACGGGTAGAAATTAATGTACGTAAAATATTTACTTTGTATGTCTGTATTCAGTATTTACTCAAAATGGCTGCTAGAGCACCCCCTCCCATCGACTGAACACCTCGTGTCACAAGATGGCGTCTCCATCCAGAGTAAAATCCCGAGATGATGGTGACATCACACTTTGGAGGACGTGCATTAGATAAGACACTTAACACTTGACCAATTAAAGATGTATTCTCTCTGTTATCTTGCATTTTGCTTATGATGTATTTTCTGCTTTATAAGGGGCCCTTTTCGCCCCCCTGACTAAACATTCCAAAGTTTTTCAGTAACCTGAAACCTGCGTCTCATTGTGATTTACTTCAGAGCGTGCACGCATTCTATTCAATCTGGACGGGGGCAGATACTCAAGCAAACACGTGGTTTGATCTTAAACAATTGGTGCCCAATGTGGGTCTCCGGGTTCTGGCCGAAAGCCAGCCGTCCTAGAAGACTCTGAGGCAGACTTGCAGTGATGGGACGGTGACTGATCACCTCTGATATACAGTAATGACTGCCATTACCACCTTGCCTATATATCCTGTCTCTGTAATTGGCATGTCTCCGTGTCTGTATCTGCTGCTGGAGGGCACCAAAGACAGGTAAATAGCTTGCCCGGACTCCCTTTGTATAGAACCTGTATATTGACTATCTGCCTCCTGGGTGTGAATGTATTTTTGCATAAGGCTAAGGAATTTCACAGGATTTATTTTTGCTTCACCGCCGAAGCGCCATATGCACTCGGCTGGGGGTGCATTTATTGTTGCTTTACCACTGAAGCGCCATAAGCGCTCGGCTGGGGGTGCATTTATTGTTGCTTTACCGGCAAAAAAGGCCGTATGCATGTGGCAGGGGACGCTCAGTTATTTGTTAGTCTTAGCACAGTACGGCTTGTGGCATTTTTTTTGAGAAATATATATATATATATATATATATATATTTAGTTAAGGGGGTTTGTTTTTTGTTTGCATTTATATTCTGGGTTTTTTTGGTTTATATGTCTCTTTGGTTTGCAATAAGTGTAAAATGTAACGTGCAAGTCTATGTCTTTCTGTCTTGTTACTTTCCTCTTATACTTTCATGAGAGAAGTGTTTAGTCACAGGCGCACACAGGGTTAACCTCCGTAGCTGTAGACTCTCTATCTCCTGTTTGTCTCCCTCCTCCCCTTTCCCCGGCCTCCACCCCTGTGCTCCCTCCTCCCTCTGGCTTTCTGTCTCTCTCTGTCATTCCTCCCAGCGACTCTGGCTATATGTCTCTCTCTGTCATTCCTCCCAGCGCCTCCGTCTCTCTCTCTTGTGAGGTCTTGTTAAGGGGGAATGGGTCACAAGTTTACGAAGCCCACTAGGGGCTGGCTAGCCTGTGATATTGTAAGGAAGAGGGAGGGTGAACAAGCAGTGGGGAATCAGATGAAGGAGATCGCTAAGATCTGTAGCATTACTAGGTCTTCCATACCATGAAAGTAAATATAATGCTGAAATTATTGTTGAAACCCCATGCCAGCCATCGCCCCATCATGGTGCCTGGCATGGAGGGATGGAGGTTGGTCCTGTCCCCATGACCTCCACCCAATTGCCAGTGTCCACAGTCACTAGCCCCTGCCCATATGTTCCCTGTCCTTAGAGCGGATGAATCATTGTTTTCCCTCGCCCCAGCATTCCTTCCCTGCCCGCTTACGATATTCCGCCCCTATTGAGTCCGCCCCGTCATGCTTGTCCCTGTCACTTCCCCCTTGCTATGACCTCCCTTCCTGCCCCTTCTGCCCCTGTCATGGCCGCCACGTCCTCTACTGCGCCTGCCATCACTTCCTTCTCCGTCCCTGTCACGGCTGCCCACATGATGTCAACCCCTCTTATGCCCGTTATGGCACACGAACACCCAGTTAATACGGGAGGTCTGCCCACCCTCACGTTCCAGTGGGGAGCCCATGCTCAGTCTACCCCCTTCCAACCCTCACGTCCTCTCCCCAGCCCATACGTTACTTATGAAGCGCCGCAGGCCCCAGTCCTCTCCGACGATGCCAGTTCCCATGAGTCCCAGATCACCCCTCCCCCTCATCCTTCCTCCTTAGGTAGCCTATTTGGGGAAATCCTTCATCACCCCATGCTGAGAATTCCAGAACCCCCCAGGATGTGAATTCCAGAGTCCCCCAGGATCATAATCCTAGAGCCTAGTTCCTTACGGATGGAACCCCTTTGATGTATGTCTCATTTACCGCGTCCCAGGCCATGACTCTGGTGGGCTCTCTCCCAGATCCAGAGAAACAGCCTATGCCCTTCTACCGAAGGATTGATGAGTCTGATTTCCCCTCAGGTGTTGAATTCTGTGAACAGCTCCGGCTGTGGGCCCAAGATAAATTAGCTGATCAGGCTACCTGTATTAACAATGTCATCCAAGAAAAGACAGAATCTGTGGAGAAGTACCACTCTAGGTTGTCCCAAATTCTCTGACCTGGGTTTCACTCCAAATGCTCTCTGCGGCCTTTGTAGCAGGCCTTAAAGAATCCATTCGTAAAGGCCTAATTCTGTCTTGACCTGAATATAGAATAATCCCCCTGGACACCCTCCTGTTAGTTGCTAAGGGCCTAGAGTCACCGAGGAAACCAGCTCCCTATATGTTCTCTGGCCCTGCACAGCTACCCCCACTGACCCCTGGGTATGCACCGCTGCCTCCAGGCCTACCCTTGTCTCCAGGCCTACCCTTGCCTCCAAGCCTACCTATGAGTCGGCTCACTATGCCGCAATACAGGAATTGTTTTAACTGTGGTCAACCAGGTCATTTCAGAAGAGAGTGTACTGCCCCTAGGCCCCCTAGACAGTTCCAGCAGGATGTGAGAGAGCCTGATTCTGCAGCCAATTACCCCCAGTTCTCAGCTCCTTGGTTACCCCGCAGCTAATAATCCCACTGCCTGTTATCCCACTGCCAGCTACCCTGTTGCCAACTAGCCCCCACCCCCCAGTCAGTAACCCTGCACCAGCCAGCAGCGGCTAGATCTCCTACAATAGGTAACTGGCAAACCTGTGTCTCCTTCCCCTGTCATGGCAGTATCTTCAGGGGATAAGGGTGGGCCCCTAGCCACAGTCTTCCTACCTGTAGAAGGACACCCAACCACCTTAGTTGACACAGGCGCAGCCCGCAGCGTCCTTAGAGAACAAGACCTGCCTGACTCCTCTTTTCTGTCTATCATTGATCTTTCTTGTGGCGGTGTAGATGGTACCCCTCGAAGTAGCCCACTAACTAAGTTCTTACAAGTTGGCACTTACCCTCATCTCTTGGCTCCGTTTTGTGGTTTCTTCTACCTGCCCAATTAACCTACTGGTAGCAGATGTACTCTCCCGCTTACAAGTCTCTATTTCCTTCACCCCAGATGGCCAGGTTCAGTTGTCCTCCCCCCTATCTACTGCTGATACTTCAGCCCTCTGCTCCATACCCCTTCTGCTCCACATGGAGACTCCTGATAGGAATGCAAGGGTCCTAGATGGTTCCCCCAGTACCTTTGCCAGGATACCTTCCAAGCTATGGTCCACAGGCCCAGAAGACATCGGACGCCTCCAAGTTCCCCCAGTTTTGGTAAAGTTAATCCCAGGAGCCAGCGTGCCCCGTAAACCACAGTATCCTCTGAAGCCTGCCAAAGCCCTTGCTATTTTCCAGCAGGTAGAAAGCATATTGTCTAATGGTGCCTTGGTCAAGTGTGTCTGCCTGCAACACTCCCCTGTTCCCTGTGAAGAAGAAAACTGAAAAGTGTGAGCCTGAAAAATACAGAATGGTTCAAGATCTCAGAGTTGTCAATGAGGCTACTATTCTGGAAATCCCTATCGTGCCTAACCCTCCTAACTCCTGTCAGGAGTCCCACCTACCACCAAGATCTTCACAGTGGTGGATTTGGCTAATGTACCCCTTGACCCCTCATGCCAATATCTGTTTGCCTTCACCCATGAACGTCAGCAATACACCTGGATTGTCATGCCTCAAGGAGCTCAGAACACTCCTAGCCAATTTGCCAAGGCTGGACTCATGGCAAAAGTCTCACACTAATGTGGTCCTGCTTCAATAGGTGGATGACCTCCTCCTCTGTGCTGATTACCTCCCTACTACTGAACGTACTTCAGAAGATCTGCTCTGCTACCTTGCTGAACAAGGATGTAAGGTCTCCAAGAAGAAACTACATTGGTGCCGGCCCTCTGTGGTCTTCCTGGGTCACTGTCTCTCACATGGCATCTCTGCTATTTATCCTCCTAAAGCACACAAGCCCCTTCATGCCTTCTTGGCTTAATCTCCTACTGCAGAGCCTGGACACCAGAGGCCTCTATCCTCATGCAACC